GCGAAAATGGCGATTGGGGCTCTTTTCCGGAAAAGCGCGTCTACATTGGCCACAGACGCCTCTTCCGGAAAAGGGCTTTTCCGGAAAAGCAGCCTGCCAATGTAGATGCTCCTTTTCCGGAAAAACTGAAAACGGAATAGTATTCCGTTTTAAGCAGTTCCGGAAATTCATGCCAGTGTAGACACAGCCACTGAGACTTAGACACAATAAATTGGACAGGTATAGATTGAACCTCCCTAGTCCGGCACCCTCGGGACCCGACTGGAGCTGAACCAGAGAATTTGCCAGCCCATGGGAGGTCAGCATTGTCTAGCAGCATTACCAACACTTCCACTGCTCGCTGGGCTCTTAGAAGACATTTTGGGGTAAATTGGAGCTAAAGAACAGCACAGAACACTGAGAGCCAGGACTGGTGGCTAAAAACAAACTTTATGGGACTGCGGGAAACTTTGCCACATTCATGGTAGGTGGACATCCGGCTAACTCAGATCAAGTGGACCACTGATGTTGCTGGACCAGAGAGTGCTGGACTGGTGAGGTTCGACCTGTAGAACATCATTTTTTTGATAATACACAGAGTAAGGTAATTTCATAAACCAGTATCCAAATTTCACGGATGATTTTTTTCTCTCCTGTGGTCTTTGGTGGATTTAATGTAGTTCCAATGTGATCAGACATATCCACAACACAGTCTCACGCCTGGACATACAGTCTCACCCACGGAAACACTGCTTGAAAATATAACAGATTTATGCATTGATTTACTGAGTCTGTTCACAAGCTAGCTCACTTACTGGATTGATAACTCAGTAGAAATGGTTCCATACCTGCCACCATTTTTTTAATGTCAACTGTTGTCATTCCAAATTCCAGGCATGCAGGAAAGAAACAGGAAGTAAAATTGGCATTTATTAAAATAAAGAATCCAGAAATAGATATATTTTTTGCTCATGTACTTGTCCTCGTACGGCATGAATCTTTTTTTTTCTTTTTTGTGTAAGTAAACATGGACTCACCAGGGGCCTACATTACAAATGAAGTGCATGTTAAACTGCATGGTACAGGAATAGTTTGGTGAATTTAGCTGAGCTGAGTCAGCTTAAAAAGCTTTGCTTATTCCAAAAAAGAATTACATGGACCGAATTTGCAAGCTGCAGAGCACTTGCTACTCCAACAGAGATCACCAGGAAATGCAGGTTTTCGGCACCTGTAAAAATCAGACCCAAATCCCTGATTCAGGCAGTTCCTTGTCTAACTTTGAGTGCACAAATAGCCCAGTTATGTACAATGGGGCTAATTATGGACTTAAAGTTTGAAACATGCTTAAGGTGCGGTCCAACTTCATTTTATTTTAATGGTAAGATTACGAGGGAGTCCATATCCACAGCCTGACTTCAGGTTTCTCCTTAAAATCAAGAGGAAGAACTTAAAATTCTGTCTATACCAAACTAAAATGACTATTCCTCGTTCAAATCCCAGGGATGGAATTTGAGAAACAAGGTGTAAAGCAGGAAACACTCTTTGATTATACCGAGCTGTTTATTTCCTTGGTCAGAAACAAGGCTCAAAATAAAAGTAAATAATAATCAAAATGACCAAACACCAAGTAAGAAACGACTGAATTGTAATAAATATACTTGCCCAATTGAGAGTAAGACGCTGACTGTGTCTCAAAATTGCATCCTATAAAGAGATACTATATTTCACACATCAAAGCTAAGATAGAACAACCGGTCACACCCAAAACCCCCAGCTTGTAAACATTTACAAAATGACCCGTTTCATCCTGTCACCTCAGGCCTGATTCATTAAAAGCCAAAGGGCACGTTCAAGATTTTCACAGTGATGAGTGAGTTTGGGTGCCGTGAAGGGGCCTGATTTTCAGAAAGAGCCGCACAGAGGTTTTCTGACAATCAGAGCTCTTTAAAGTGACTTTGGCTGGGAACCTACAAACCCAAACTACCCCAAACCAGTCAACATTTTGAAGATCCTGGCCTCTTTTTATATTACAGTCCAATGGATTACACCAGCCTCTGAAAAAGGTCCTTTAGCAGCAAAAGGACCTTAATATTTCCCCCATTCGGGAACTCAAGAATTCACGGCATGGTTCAAAAATACTGTCCACTACTTCCTGTGGGGATAGAAATCAGACCAAGATGGGGAAATGGGTAGCTAACATCCAACATAGGGTGCATCTACCCAGCAGGGCTTAACTCGAAATAAGTCACACAAACTGAGCTACGTCAATTGCGTAGCTTATTTCGAAATTGGGAGCTTCCACACAGCACTTATTTCACAATAGAGCCCTCGTCCTCCGACTTCCCTAACTCCTCGTCCAATGAGGGTTACAGGAGGAGGAATAAGAAGTCCTCCAGCTTGACAGCATTTCGACACTATTTTGAAATAACTGCTGGTTGTGTAGACGCTAGCTACTCTGAAATAATGTTGCTGTGTAGACGTAACCTTGGAGAAAACATTCCCAGTAAAATTGAGAATATCTAATTATTCTGCAAAGATAACTGGAAATCTACCAAAAAGCCCACCCCAAAGCAAATGGATTAAGGTTGACCAAGTACTTGTACCCGACCACTTTTCACGTTAACGTAGGGAGGTGTGAGGTAGCTCTATCACCCTAGTTTAGCTGCTGCCGTATTTTAAGAGCAATGATGCTACAGTGCCTTGGAGAGGGCTAAGCGTCACCAGATAACATGACACTGTGCATTTACTGATGGCATGGGGGACTCTTGAAAATTAGAGGCTGATCACTCCGCAATCTCCTTCTCTGGGTCCCGGGACGTAGCCTGGAGCTCAGAGGCGCAGCCGGGAGACTGTTTCAGCTGCTTCTGGCTGCTGGCAGCTGCAAAGGGCTGAAAGAAGGGGATTCCAAAGTGTGGGAGCTCACCACCCTTCGATGGTGGCTGGGGAGGGGGCGGTGTAAAACCCTCCATTTTGGCTGTGTGCGAATGGAGGCGTCTCCTTGCACGGGGGTCATCTTACTAGGGACGTTTACGCCATCTCTATGGCTGGGTTCTGACAGCATCACAGGCAAAGTTGTTCCCTGGAACTGGCGAGTCTGGCCCAAATGTAGCTTATTTGAAGAAGAAGCTGTTGCAGCTTCATACAAACGGCTCTTCCCTTATTGCTCCTCAGTGACCGATCGAGACAAGGGGATACCTTTGCATCGAAGGGAGAAAGGCACCCGCTGGAGAGTGAGCGGATCCCATTTGGTCGGACTATTTCAGCTCTGGGTGAATCTGTGATGGCTTTTAATCTATTCGCCTGCAAAAAAAGGGAGGTGTTCTCTCGGGGCCAATGTTTTCCTCTAGCCCTTCCAGGCCTGGGACATCCTGTCTATTTCTCACTGCACCTCATGCCGCCCTTCACTCCTGCTGTGTGAAATGACGCAGGGGTTGGTGAGGCAGTTTTAATGAATCGTGCCCTGGGCCCCCTTTCCAAAAGGGTTTTTTTGCAAGGTTTCTGGGCTCCACCGTAACACAAATTTACCATCCGCAGGACAAATAAGTAGAGCCCTGCAAATCTGTGGATATCCACTTTATATCCGTGGATATCCCCATTTGCGGATATGGATGGGGATATCTGCGGCTCATTGTCGTAGATGCAGATACAGATGCGGGTACAAATTTTGTATCCAGAACCCTGCAAATTTGCGGCTATCCACAAGAATCCTCATCAGCGAATATGGATGGGAATATCCATGGCTCACTATTGTAGCTGCAAATACAGATGTGGATACACATTTTATAGCTGAATTTTATAGCTAGAGCTAGAATCCTGTAAATTTAGCCACGACTCATTTCTGCGGATGCAGATACAAATTTTGTCTCCACGCAGGGCTCGACAAAGAAGCACCAAGTTGTTCGAGATGTTTGTAAAATTCCACCCCCTAATCTCCACTCCCACCCCCTTCCCAGACCTCAGCCTGTGGTCCAAAAGATACATACGCCACACACAGGTATCGATCAAAGCCGTTACAATAGATCTCAATACATTGGACACAAAGTCAAAACGTCCAGTCACGAAACATGGTTCAGGCCAGCAGTGCACAGCAGTACAATGAACAACATAAAAGCAAAAAGAAAAAAAAACGTTGCGGAGAGGGATCCCTTCCCAGACCTCAGCCTGTGGTCCAAAAGATACATACGCCACACACAGGTATCGATCAAAGCCGTTACAATAGATCTCAATACATTGGACACAAAGTCAAAACGTCCAGTCACGAAACATGGTTCAGGCCAGCAGTGCACAGCAGTACAATGAACAACATAAAAGCAAAAAGAAAAAAAAACGTTGCGGAGAGGGATAGGAG